CGTCGGCGTACAAGCCTCCGCGCTGGAGCGCCTTGGCGTACGACCTCGGGGGGTCGGTGATGAGGCTCCTAGCGTACGGGGAGCAACGGAGGGCTCCTTGGTACAAGGCAAGAAGGGTGCACTCATCGGCCCCCTCAACCTCCTCGGTCTCCCTCGTCCACCGATCGATGAATGACCGGAGGGACTCCTCGTGCTGCTGCTTGACGGAGAGGAGGTGGGTGAAATACTTCTTGGCGCGCTTCCTCCGGGCAAAGTGAGTGAGGAAGCGCTGGGCGAGATCCTGCCATGAGTCGATGCTTCCTTCTGGGAGCCCGTTGAACCACTCGTACGCTGGTCCCTCGAGAGTAGAGAGGAACCAACGGCAGAGGTATTCGTCGGACGCGTTCACCATCAACATGTTGTTCTGGTAACGGCTGAAGTGTTCCTGGGGGTCTCATCGGCCATCGTAGGACTTGATGGCGTTCCCCCTGTACTTCTCAGGGATGGGGGCCGAGAGGACCCTGTTGGTGAAGGGGGTCCTCGTCCTGACCTGGATGATGGGGTCACCCCGCCCTTCGGCCAGCTCCCTCTCCAGGGCGCTAACTTTGTTCATGAGCGCGTTGAGGCCGGGATCGTTGGAGGCGCCGGCCGTAGGGATGTTGGCCGACTGCTTGGCCTCCATCTGAGCTAGCCTCCTCTCCAGCTGGGCGATGACCACGTCCCGGGGGTCCCTGGCGGCCGTAGCGCCGCCCGGCTGGTTCCTCATGCGCTCGTTGTGAGCCGCGTTGATCTGGTGACGCACGTCATCCTCGTGCAATTTTCCCTTGCCCTTGTCCGGGCGGGGCTGGCCCGCTGTCCGAGACACAGACCCCAAGCTTTCCCTTGGTGAGCCAGGACGAGGATCACCAATCCGTCCCGCCATCCTCTCCGAAACCGGACGACGGCGCGTGTCACCTAGCCTATTGAAGGCAGAGGCTCTTCCACGCGCTGGGGTCTGCCCGGGCCGAGGAGGGGAAGCAGGGTGGGAGTGGGACGACGCCGTGTCCTGGGGCACCACCCCCTCATCGTTGCCTATCTGGACGGCCAACGGTTGGTGCTGAGGAGGTTGAGTGACGTTCCCCCCGGTCCTTGGCAAGAGTGCGCTGAGGACGGTGGGGTTCTGAGCTAGGCTGGCAATGATGACCGACAGCGCGGCCTGGACCTGTGGATCCACGGACGGAGAGGCCGCGGCCATAGGCTGGGCCGGGGCGTGGTCCGTCTTCTCAGCCCGTTTCTTTTCCAGGCCGAGGCGGGCGTCGGGGACTCCGCTGTTGAGTTGGTTGCGGAGGTCCGTCGTGAGGTTGAAGGCCTCCTGGAAGAGGTCCCCTCCGCCGACCTGGTCGGCCGTGGCGTCCTCATCGTGCTCCCTGGGCTCTTGGTCCTCAGGGATGGCTTTGCTGACGAGGTTGCGGTTTGACTTAGTTCTCCCCATGGTCAGTGGTTAGCTGTGCTTGGTAGCGACGAGGGGTGCTAACTTGATTGTTCTAGCTCTCAATGAGAGCACCAAATGATAGAGTATATCTAGAGAGAAGTGAGAGCTAGAGAGAGAAGTGCAATAATATGCTTCAATAGAATGATTTCGTAACCCCTATAACTACTCCCAAAGGGAGTATTTATAGAGAAAATTAGGGTTGAGCTCCCAAGCCTTGGGCTTGGGAGGCCCATTTACAACTGGACCGCTACTGGGCCGAATACAAAGCCACTAATGGGCTGTACAAATGAGTAAGTATAAAATCCGATTCTGTGAGGTCTTCGTGGCCGACGAGGGCGTGGCCGACGAGGGCACGGCCGACGAGGGCACGGCCGACGAGGGCACCCGGGTTCCTTGGACTCAGGACCATAATCCGAGTTGGCCCCTTTTCGGCCGACGAGGGCGTCCTGGCCGACGAGGACGCCACTCTGTGCCTTGTGCTTTCTGTTCTTCCGAGTATGTGGGTCCGGGGGCTCAGACCCATATACTCCATCAATAACTATGTCGAGTCATGGACAATTTTGAAAGTGTATGAAGAGCATAACCACCTCTTGAGTCCTAAAAAAAGTAGAGCTTTTTTGTGTAATCGAAGATTGACTATGCATATGAGGAGAGCAATTAAAATAAATGATGTAGCATGAATACCTCTTCACAAAAGTTTCAACTCTCCCGTAGTAGAAGCGAGTGAATATGAACAATTACCTTTCATTAAAAAAAGTGTAGAAAATAAATTAATAAGGTTCGACGTTTGCATTTCAGTAGAGGTGATGACATGGATATTCAAACTTTTTTTTTGCAAATTGAAATCGAAATGCCCCAGTTTTTTCTTTGCCCTTGATGTAGATGAAGAATATCGCCTTCGAAATGTATTTTGAGCGGACAAGCGGTGCCGTTATGCATATAGAAATTTCAAAGATGTAATTACTTTTGATACAACTTATCTCACTAATAGGTATGACATGCCATTTGCACTGTTTGTTGGAGTAAATCACCACAGTCAATTTATGTTGTTGGGATGTGGATTAGTTTCAACTGAGGACACAAACATTTGTGTGGTTGTTCTCCAAGTGCTTTGAGTGTTTGGGTGATTTGTCTTTTGAATGAAATTATTACCGATCAAGATAGGGCAATACAGAACATCATTCAATCGGTCTTCCCAATACAAGGTATCGGTGGTGTCTATGGCACAATATGGAAAGGGTGCCCGAGAAGATGGGATATCTGTGTGATAAAGATGAAGTAATCAGTTGTTTACATCAAGGGTGGGCATATCACTTTTTTATTCGATTTTAGTTTGGAACTGAGTGAGAGAATTACTACCAAACAAAAGCTCATACTATTTTTTTGGTTCGATTCGGTTTGAATTGTTATTTTTTTAATAATATATGAAGGTTTTATTTGGTTCGATTAGGTTTCGGTTCAGTTGAATATGATTTGGAAGAAATACTACCAAACTAAAACCAAATTGCATATGATCCAATTTCAGTAAGGTTTGGTTAAACTAACCCAATATGCCCACCTCTAATTTACATGATGCTGCTTACGACTCGAACGTAGGTGTAGAATATGAGTTGAATAGACTTCTATGTTGCAAAGGTAATAATTTATTTTTAACATTATCTCTTCCATATCACATATGTAATATTGATGTTATATAATGTGCAGGTTTGATCTTCATGGCCACGAGTGGCTGCATGGCCTTTACAATAAAAAACATCGATGGGTCCCTTGGTACTTGAGGCACATTTTTTGGGCAGGGATGTCCACGACCCCACGTAGTGAGAGTATGAACTCTCTTTTTTACGACTATATTCATTCAAAAACAAGTAAAAAAGAACTTGTTCATCAATATGGACGTGCTTTGAGACTCAAAGTAGAGAAAGAGTTCCAAGCGAATGCTAACTCTTTTACTAAAATGATACATTGTGTTATTACATTTGTAATGGAAAAATAGGTGCAACAATCATACACCATTGCAAAGTTCATAATACAACTGTCATTTGAACTTTGCAATGGTGTATAATTGTTGCACCTTTTTTCCATGACAAATGTAATCACACAATGTATCATTTTAGTAAAAGAGTTAGCATTCGCTTGAACTCTTTCTGTACTTTGCATCTCAAAGCACATCCATACTGGTCAATGAATTCTTTTAGACTTGTTTTTGAATGAAGATAGCCATCAAAAAAGCATTCATGCTCTCGCTACATTGGATTGTGAACACTCTTGCCCAAACATTGGGCCTCAAGTAGCAAGGGACACATCGATGTTTTTCATCGTAAAGGTCATTTAGGCACTCGTGATCATAAAGATCAAACATGCGCATTATATAACATCAATATTACAAATGTTGTGGTATTGAAGAGATAATGTTAAAAATAAATTCGTACATTTACAACATAGAACATGCCAACTCATATTCTACACCTACGTGCGAGTCATAAACAACATCATGTGAACAACTCATAACTTCATCTTTATCACACAGACCTCACATCTTCTCGAACCTTTTTCATAATGTATCATAGACATCACAAATGTCTTGTATTTGGGAAGACCAATTGAATGGCGTTCTGCATTTCCCTATCTTGATCGGTAATAATTCCACTCGGAGGACAACCACCCATACACTCAAGCCACTTGCAAAACAACCAGACAAATGTTTGCGTGTCCTCACTTGAAATTCATCCACACCCCAACAACATAGAATGGTTGTGGTGATTTACTCCAACAAACGATGCAAATGGAATGTCATACCTATTAGTGAGATAAGTTGTACCAAAAGTAATTAAATTTCCGAAATCTCTATATGCATGATGACATTGCTTGTCCGCCCAAAATACATTGCGAAGGGAGATTCTTCATCTACATCAAGGGCAAAGAAAAAATCAGGGAACTCCGATTGCATTTTGCAAAGGAAGTTTGAATTGTCATGGCATCACCACTACCTAAACGCAAACATCGAATCTTGACAATATAGTTTCTACAATCCTTTTCGAAGAAAGGTAATTCTTCATATCCACCCGCTTCTACTCTTGAAGAGTTGAAACTTTTTTGAAGAGGTATTCCCGTTGCATCATTTATTTCAAGTGTTCTCCTCATATGCATAATCAATCTCCGATTACATCGAACAACTTTAATTTTTGTAGGACTCACAGGGTGGTTATGCTCTTCATACCCTTTCGGAATTACCCATGACCCGTCATAGTAATGCACCACTTTTATTCGTGCTTTGCAACCTATTTGCTTTGAAGGTTGATGCAGTGAAGAGTTCTTTGACTGTGATACTCTATTTCCAACGCAACAACACTCAATTAACATTCATGTGATATTTCTTTGTTTGTCTTTTGTTGAGATCCCAATTCTAATGGGAAAACTTATACTTTTGGCATATAAAAATATCCTGATTGTAGGCTTCATCTTTCCCAGAAACAACATGTCAATTTCTACACGAGCTTCTGGTGTATCACCATCTACATTTTTATTATCCGGGTTTGGGTGAAGACATATATAATACATAATGATTAATAATATAAACGTCTGTGCACAGACAATAACAATACAAATGTTCACTTCATTTCGTCACAGGCATGGAACATGCAACACCTCAAATACAATACTTTTACGCCAAACTGTCTATCTAACGGGCATGGATCATAAACTATACAAATACAAGGTTATTTACTTCTACATGCACTGAAACATCGAAATGCATGTGTACATAAACATTACGTTCAACGTACCTCCTTCATGATCGGTGACCGGAATATGTCGTTCCTCTCCGTAACTTACATCCTTCGTTTATTGTTCACCTTCATCTTCTATCGCTGGTGCTTCAAACCCGAACTCCTCTCCTTGAGGTGTGATAAACTCGCCCATGTCATAACAACTAATGAAAGTCATCTCGTCAACACTATAATTATAGGAACATAGACAATAATACTAATAAGAATATTAGAATAGTATTCAAGCGTGTAATAGTGTATAAGTGAAGATTCTGGGCCATTTAGTAAATCAGAAATAATGGGCCAACCCTTAAAGAAATAGAAGTACTATAAATAGAAAGGAAGGGGATAAGGAGAAGGTAGGCAAATATTCAGTTGGATTGGGGTAGGATAGGAGACTGGCATTGTCCTGGAGCATTGTACTGTGTGTGAATTGATTTCCCTATTGAATAACACTTTCTATCTGTTCTTCTACAATTTCTCTTGAATTCTATATTGTTCTGTGAATAAAATACCAGTTTCTATCATTGGTATCAGAGCACACAGCTTCCTAGAGGCAGAGAATCAGAATCATCGATCATCCCAGAGCTTCAACAACCGGGAGTGATGGAGGAATTCTATATGACACCTCAAATGGAAAAGAGTTTTGATAATATAGATAGACATATGAAGGAGATGAAAGCTATGCTGAAGAATATGAAAGATAGGTTGAACAGTATGGATCAACATCATCGCAGACATCGATCAAGGAGCCCTAAAAGTTGTCGGCCTTCTGCGTATCCCAGTTCGTCGCCAAGTGCGCATGTTTCTTCTCACTCGCGTGAAAATCCATCCACTTCTCTGACTTCGTCAAGAACTGTTTCTCATCACCGATCGACATCGCAAACCGTTTCTCTCTATCATTCGCAGGTGTCCTCGCAATCAACATCGTTTGTCGTTTCTCCTACTTCACAGATGCGAACGACTTCTCTTAGTTCGCAGATGGCATCTCAAGCTGCGTTGCACACTGCGCTAGCTTCGTCGCCAGCAGAAGATCCTCATTCGCTGATTTCTGCGCTCGCCTATACTCACCCTTCGCAGGTTTCTTCTAAATCGTGAGAAACTCCTTCTCCCAGTTCTAAGGCTTCGTCGCGAACTGTTAATCCTCAATTCTCTTCATCACAAGTCTTTTCTCCCAATTCTCAAACGGTATCGCAAGAAAAAGACATCAGTTGGCAGTCGCCAACATATTCAAGGAGGAGTTCGCAAGTGTGGTCGCAATCTGCTTCTCCCAGATGCGAACCAGTTTTCTCTATTCACAAGCTTCCTTATCGCAGTCCCAATCAACATCTCCTAATGCATTAGTTTCAACATACCTAAAGGAATCAGCCGTTTCAGAAGACATAACTCCAGGTGCAAAAGGAAAATGATCTTCAGGGGGGCCACAGCTGGAAACAAACGTTAAGTCAAAGCCGTCTGCACCTTCAGTTCAACAATTGGAGACGAAAGAGGAAATTCTGAAAGGAACAGAAAATATTGATTCATTGAATCACTTAGAAGCTCGAAGGAAATACATGTCAGATGCTACAATTTCAAAGAGTGAAGCAACTGAAACCCAAGGGTTTGGGTTATATCATGAAGTAAGAGCTATTAGCAAATGGAAGATTGAGCAGTTGGTGATTGGTAAAGCTCAGTTCCAATACGTTCGGAAAACCAATATGTTCATCCTTATTCTGACTGAAGTTCATCAGGATCTGGTCCCTGAAGATCGTTCTCTTGCTGCAAGAGCTATTGGCTCTCTTATAGGGGATAGGAAAGAAGAAAATTTCCTAGACTTGGGACTTTGGCGGTTAGAGAATCTGAAATTGCATGGCAGCACTGTTGATACTATCTGCCATACACAAAAATGGGTGATAAATAGAGAAGTTTGCATAAGGTTTGTTGAAAACAATGAGTTGAGTAACTTGAGTAACATCACATCGGAATCCAGCACATTGATGGTCTCAAAAATGAGAGTACTTGAGGAGTCTCATGAAAACAAGGAAACATTTGTAGTTAGTGAGTGCTTGACGGAACAAGTACTGAAGCATCTGGTTCAGCAAGCAGTGAGGTATTGGGAAGGAAGAGGCGCAAGGATGAAGAAGAAGTTGTTGGTTAGGGCTGTTTCCTATCACCCACCTTGAGAACAAGGTGGTTGTTTGGGGGGGGGGGGGGTATTGATAGGAACATAGACAATAATACTAATAAGAATATTAGAATAGTATTCAAGAGTGTAATAGTGTATGAGTGAAGATTCTGGGCCATTTAGTAAATCAGAAATAATGGGCCAGCCCTTAAAGAAATAGAAGTACTATAAATAGAAAGGAAGGAGTAAAGGAGAAGGTAGGCAAATATTCAGTTGGATTTGGCTAGGCTAGGAGGCTCGCATCTCGAATTGTCTTGGAGCATTGTACTGTGTGTGAATCGATTTCCCTATTGAATAACACTTTCTATCCGTTGTTCTACAATTTCTCTCGAGTTCTATATTGTTCTGTGAATCAAATACCAGTTTCTATCATATAATCCATTGTCTATGGCATGTTCGTTTTCTCCTACCGTCTGTCATCCACCTCCGACATCGAGCAACGAAGAGAAGAAGAGAAAGTGTGCGCAAGAAGCTTCAATGAACAGTGGTTGCGAAAATATCCCAACAGGAAGGGGAGAGCGATGGAAAGAGAGGAGTTGGTGACAAGGTAGATGGGTAATTGGAATGGTATTTTTTGGCTTTTATAATGTGTACATGTTTGTTTACAACATATATAAAACAAGTATTTTTTAAAATTTAAACTATATTTTTGGGCTTTTATACCATGTACACTTTGTGTACAACTCTTATACATAATAAAGCATTTTTGTCAACTTTATGCATTGAGAAACACGAAGTTCAAACTATTTATAAATTATATATTTTTCCATTAATGATTGTTATGAGTTTCTTAGTTTATTCTTAGATTTTTTAAATAAAACTTCTTTAAAAAATTATGATGAAAAGTTACAAAGTACTTCATATTATACTCCGGTGTCATAATCACGTAAATGTAAAAGTTGAAAATAAATTACTATGACTAAATAGTCTGTAGTCACTACACAGTCTATACCTTAGAAATCATTTTTTATAAACAATCTTTAGTTTAGTCATAAATATGTAATTATTTCTTTTAGTGATTTTTTCAAAAATATTACAGAAATAAAATACTTGGGAAAGTTTGTGTACTCATTCCACCATTAATGTGACGAAATGCTTTTTGTGAATCATTCAATTTCATCTTATACAAAATGAACCTTTTTGTTCTCAAGATGTGCACAAGATGAGACATGTCAATATGTGCAGACTTTAATAGTGTTAACGTAGTTTTTCTTTCTCCTTGCTAAGGAATATAAAAGCAATCCTCGGCTTGATCAGCCATTGGGAATGAGCCACAAGATCCCTATGTTTGACCATCCACAAGAAAGGAAGCTCTTACTTAAGCTTACGATTTCACAAGCTACCGGGAAGGAATCGCACAACCCTAGAAACCACTCTATCATCGGCCTTCCGGTACCCCCAAAAACTACTCTACGTTTTGTAGCTATGCAACTTAGTACGCACTCACTTCTCGATAATATGTGTGTCTGATTTTAGTGATTTAGTAAGCCATTTTACAATGTGTTTGTACTTCATAGTTTATATCAATCCCTTTGAAGAAAATAAAGAGGTCTAGAATGAAATTATAAAGGACAAAATTAGGGGTCTTATTACAAAAGCTAATACCAAAACTTTCAAGAAAAGTTTGAGTTTTTTTAAATAAGCTGCTCCAACCAAACAGTGCTTAAATGAGTTCTTCTAAAGCTAGTTTAAACCATTTCTGTTGTGCCAACCATAGCGGTGCATTCTTTAACAATTCAGAATTAGTTTCTAAACTTATAGCACAATTCCTAATACAATTGTATCTAGTATTCTCAAATTGATTCGACAACATCCCACAGTTATTCTTTAGCAATTAAAGTTGAATACTGTGCAAAATAATGTAGACAGTTTAACAAATAACTGCTTGATTATATATATTGAGAAAGATGCATTTGGAATCATTAATAAACAAATCCCTATATCAAAATTTCCATTGTGAAAATACACCCACACAATTAGATAATGGATATATCTAGGCGATTGACATAAATATGGCTAAAGAAAAAGCTAAAGTACTTTTTAAAAACATAAAAAAAAGTAAATATATGTCACTTCATTATGTCAGTTGCACCCCAATGACCCCACCAGTTAAAGCGGCCACTTCACTGCCACAAAGGCATTTGGTTATGGCCGTTTCCGGTGACATATTCAGCAAATTCTTTCAAAAAAATTAGCAAATTTTAAATTTTAAGCAGCCCGGTGCACAAAGGCATCCTCCCCGCAAGGTGAGGGTCCGGGGAAGGGTCCCGCCACAAGGGTATATAAGGGGCAAGCCTTCCCCTATCAATTTTTTTTATTAGAGGCTGCTCCCAAGACTTGAACCTGTGACCTCTAGGTCATACAACACCTTAAACGGTGCACCAAGGCTTCCATTCAAATTTTAAATTTCTACTAACAAACAACAAGATGACCATTGACAAACTCTTAAATTACATATATCAGCTGCAAATAATATTTAGCTTCACCATTGATAGACTCTTGAAATTCTATTGGTAAAGTAAGAGAAGATGACAACAAATATTTGGAGTGTGATAGCATACCTGTTTTTTTTTTTTGCAAAGCTCAATAGTTCCTATAAGAATGCCAAGTGTTGGTTCACAGAAGAATGGCCATAGTATTTCTCTGCATATAAAACCCCGTGGCTTCAGGATAATGAAGAAGCCCTCAAACTCTGGTGTCTTTGTTTTCTCTTACTTTGTCCCTTCATCATTATAAGCTTCTGAAGCTTCGGGTTTTCATCTTCAGGGTTCCTTTCGGCGTATAACTCTTTAGCCCTGAATGACATTCCACACTCCAGGAGCCTTTCAACCATTAAAGTGTAATGAGCAGAATCAGGAATTACCTTATACGATTTCATCTCAGCCCATATCTTCAATGCATTTTCAGGCTCCTTCAGGTTGAAGAACCTATCAAGTACTAACAGAAACGTATCCTTGTTTGGACCAAGCCCATGTTTTCTCATATTATTTAGAAGCTCAAAAGTTTGTTCGATGCTCGAAGCTCTAAGAAATGCATGGTAAGTGACAAATGTTGGACTTATAGTATCCTCTATCATCATAGCCAATACCTTTCTTGCTTCTTCCAACTTGGATGCTTCACAAAGAGGAGATATGATTGAGTTGTACGTGGCAGAATCAGGAAGCAAACCTATGTTTTTCATCTTGTCTACAATTTTCAGAGCTTCTTTTAGGCAATTCTCACGGGTTAGTATATATACCAAAGCATTGTAGACTGAATTCCCAGGAACCCAGCCTCGTTTTTTCATTTCATCGTAAAATCTCAGAGAATCAAATAGATTTCCTACTTTAGAGAAACAGGCAATCATGTATGTGTAAGAAGCTCCATTAGGCACAATACATTGTTTAGACAGTTCTCGCCATACCCTCTTCGCTTCAAATATGTCAACCACAAGGTTACACCATCCATTCAGAATGATGTTGAAGCCATCGATTCCTAATGGGAACAGCTTCTTATTGACAAGCATAAATTCTTCAGCCTCTTCAATAAATCCATGTTTACAAAGGATATTCAAGAATGAAAAGAACACTCTCTGATGAGAGGACAAACAAAAATTCTCCATTATCTGAAATGCCCGTATAGCCTTGTCTGGAAAATTTGCTGCAGCATACCTTTGGTATTGTAAATGTAAGAAACTATATGAACTGCTTAAGCTTTATCATTGTTTCCGGCAATAAATGAATTGATTATTTCTATCTAAGATACAGCTTGGCATATTGTGAAGTCTGTATACAGAACAGAACTAAAATATACTCTGTATTACAAGTTCCCTTGATTAACTGATTACTGTGATTAGTCATTTTGAAATGCAAGAGCTTTAGAACCAGTGATGTTTTCTTTTACTATGTCACTGAACAAAGTGCTTGTTGGTCCATTCAAAGCCCAGATGTTATATTGCACTCATATGGTAAGTTGTATGCAATTTATGAGAATGATCAAGATTAAATTAGGTGCTAGAAAATCACTAAGGGCAGAAATTACCTATCGATCATAATGAGGACGGCCTCTTGGACCTCAATAGAATTGCGTGCAAGGTCAGTGATCAAAGTCCATGCGGTACTGAACTTTTTATGGTTGCCCAGAACCCATATCACCAAGCACCGCGTTTTTTCAGGAACGCAGTCCCATTTCTCACCCCACTTGAATAATAAATAGGCCAACTGCCACCGGTCTCTCAGATCCCAAATCGCCAAAAAGATCAAATCTTGGCTTGGTTTTATAGCACACTGGTCAAGTAATGCAATGGCTTCATCTCCAGAAGCACAACCCTTGGCCTGTTCGAGTATCCCAGTGACTCCACTAACATCAACATGGAAAGTTTCGGTTAATTTCTTCACGTAATCTTCAAAGTCGATGATTTCGTAATCGTGTAATTTTTGTTGGATACAAAAGTTGTCACTTTGAGGAACACGATAACGTTGATTGCAAGCCGTTCGATGAAATGCTCCAAAGATATGCCGCTGCTGATGGCCCTGAACAAGAGTAGGTGAGGCAGGCTGAAGAGATACTGAAGTCAAGATACAAGGCACAAAATGTATGGAGAGCGTTTTATGCAACATTCGAGCACGATGAAGCAGCCGTACCATTTCACTTACTAGACTGAAGATCACACATGAGTATGTACTAACTTTTCCTCAGATTGAGCCGTACTTTGGATAAAGAAAGACTAGTTCGAGTTCTAATTCTAGTCGAGTTTCACTTGTGTGTAAAAGTACAAAGCTCGGTTCAGAGTACAAATAGAGGTCGAACGTTTTTCCAGTGACATAGTAAAAGGACTTTGAATGGACCAACAAGCACTTTGTTCAGTGACATAGTAAAAGAAAACATCATTGGTTCTAAAGCTCTTGCATTTCAAAATGACTAATCACAGTAATCAGTTAATCAAGGGAATTTGTAACACAAAAAAAAAAAAGGGAACTTATAATCCAATAAAGTTTATTTAAAGCTTTATATTGCACTCTGAGAAAAGTTTGAATTAAAAATAACATAAGAAAATATTGTTTCAAAGAAGGTAATGTGTAATGTATATATGTGATTTTTTGCAAGTTTTGCATTATTATTTTAACCATTTAACATTTTTTCAACATTGGCATTATTTTGACACTGGCATCATTTTAACGTGATGACAAATTAGACCAAATAAAAATAATAATAATAGAATTAATATATCTATTCATTTAACAAAAAAAATTGGAGTATGCTTTCTAATTATATTTACCACATCTGCATATGTAGGAATTAATCTGCTTTCTAATCTTTCTAGTGCATATAGGTACTAAACAATAAAGTATTATCATAAATGAAAAAAAGTAAGTTTGATATCATTGGGACATTATTAAAATATTTAAAGCAGAAGCATGAATTTTTCAAATAAACATATTATTTTTATCCACCATTCTCAGTAGTCATATATTATTAGTTATTTCTTTATTTATTATTGAATAATCTGTATGGAGTTTGGAAAATAGAAATGTTCTTATTAATCTTTGATTTTTTTATTTTATATATGAAATATTGGTGTCCTATGAAAGATCATAAAAATTTATAAATTTAGATATATATTTTAAAAAATCGAAGTTAAAATGAAAAAGATATATGAGTTTTTTTACTTGGGCCCCATGAATTGCAAGTTAGCTACCATCATTTAATATTCCTTAATGGTAAATTACCACGTGGCAGTTACATATTTAAGGAGAAAAATTGTGTAGAAGAACCCTTAATGGGTGAGATATGAATAGTGCCCCATGTTAACTAATTTCTAGTGAAGAAATAGTGCGCCATGTCAACTAGTTTTGAGATATGAATGGCGCCTGTAGTTGTTGTGTGACACCGCACCCGGGTATACTTGAATTTAGAATTCAGTATGTATTTGAATTTTTTCTAGTGAATGATTTCGTGTAAAAGAATGATATATTTAAATAATAATGAATGATTAATTAAATTATTTATCGGGTCCATAATACTGAGAATGGGCTACCAAATAATTAGTTGGGTCATCGTAATAATTATAGAAGCCCAATAAAATGTCAACCGAGGTTGAGGGAGTATTTGGACTACCCAAGTGCTATTTTGACCCAACCTGCCAGAAATAGTAGAAATAATTGGGAGAGACTTCCTACACCCACTTGGGGTATTCTACCGGTCAAATAAATCCCAAATAATTGGGAGTAAGACAAAAAATAAGGGGGATGGGGCGGATGAAGGCAAGGGGGGAGTCTCATTGAGACAAACTCACACTCATCCATTAATTATCCTTGGACACTTCATAGGAGTGATTGGGTTGAGAATAAAAATACTCCCCCACTCCTACTCCAATCATTCGAACCACACACAAGAGAGGAAGAGGGAGAGGATTTGAGAAGCTCTCAAAAATATTCCTAAGCTTGAAGAACCAAGGGAAGAAGGGAATCCAAGAAGAGAGGCTAGAGTTGAGGTAAGAGCTCAACTAGAAATGCTTTTAACTAGTTTTATTGTGTATGATTTTTAAGAAATCATATAGTGGATTAAGCCATGATTTCTACACGTTTAAAAGTGTAGAATATTGTTATAAAGTGATGGTAATTAACTTAGAAGAGTTGGTGAATCGATAGGAGTCGAAATCGCTGGAAACCGCCAAGAAAAAGGAGCGGCCCGTATCGCAGGAGCACGAACGACGCCCGACATTCACCAAAGTCGCCCGGCTTTTGCTCTGCAGTCCAGTTTTTCGGTTCCAATCGGCCTAGAACGGGGATTGATCGAAGGGCTTCGCAAAGACAATTAGTTAAGCATTCTATAAGGTGAGGATGACTGACTATATTGCTTATAATTAGTGAGTTAATTTCATGAGATTACCTAAGGTAATTAAATGTATTTTTATGGATCATTAATGATTAATAATGCCTAAAAATGAGAGGACTGTTGTCTATAAGGAAAAGAGCATGATATACAAATTTAAGAATAAATTGTGTATGCTCATGTGTTATGAGTATGTTGACTTGATAATGGAATTAACTAGGAAATGTATGTTGAACTATACTTTTTACTTCATATAAGAATATATGAATGATTAAAAGTGATATTTTGTATATTGATATAAAGATGATATTTTCAGTGGAAAATCAGTTGGGCATTTTATAAATGACCATGAATGGAGAACTTGGTGTTGTTGGAATTAATTGGACTAGTATTAATATACTAGTTGGGCATTAAAGTGAAATGTTGCTAAAATTAATCCCAAAGTAGGATTGTGAAATGTTATGCCTTAAGTAGTTTTAAGAGATGCTTTAAGGTAGGAAAGTATGAACTTTAAGTTATACTAGGGGTAGGCCTTAAAGAATACCCAAGATAAAGTGAATAATAAATTGATCCTAGATATAGGATTGGCCTACGGGCGTGTTCGGTAGTCTTTGAGGATAGCCGGTTGAATTATGGTATCAAGTAAGGACCATGGCCCTTCCCGACTCTAGAGAGCGGGGTGGATAGCATGGACTTGCAACGTGATCACGGGTTAAGGTGGAATATGAATCGGAGACCTAACTAGGCTCTGACAGCGGTAACACATAAGATAGGACCCCGAAGGGCCTTACCTTCCTACGGGATGATGGGTATGAGTCTAGGGGCGGGATGTTGAAATGTGAACCGAGAGCCTCATGAGGTCTCAGACAGCGGTAGCAAATCCCGTAGAAATAATAAGACCCACGGGTTGGGTTGTACAAATGATGAATAAAAAGGAATATATAAGAATGGCCATGTGCCGACAAATAAATGAATTTACTTATTATAGAGATAATAAGTGGGAAATATAAATTATTATTTATATTATGATATCACTCTATTTTGAGGGTCTTAGAAGTTAAAACATTGATTATATTCGGTGTAGTTGTCATTGTACTTTTCAAATGCTTCAAAGTACTGACATTCCCTTCACTGGGGAGGCCACCTCACAGTTGCAGGTAGAAGTTGAAGTTTGCTACCATCGCCCATTGTTTCGGGGAATTCTAAGAGAGAAGACGTGGTTCATGCTTCCTCTGTTTCTATTCTCAAAACAATTATGATAATGCTCATGGATGTTATTTTTCTGAATAATCATTTGGGGGGTTGTATGCCTAATTATGCCAAGTGTGGCTTGAACACTTGTAATAATGCTTCCACTGCTTTAAATGAATATTTTACATTATGTTTGTTTATCGATGTGCTATGTGTGAATGATATTCAAAGACGCCTTATATAGTATGGATGAGTTGGACTGCGGTTGACTATTTGTACTGTACGGCGGATTGTTGACGTGTCCGGGTAGGTCCGGGGCGTGACAATTTAATTGGTATCAGAGCCCTTAGTCCGTAAACATCATAATGAAGCTTCAAAATTCATTTTTAAAAACGAATTTGAAAATCATGAGCATAAGAAGTGTTGTACTTAGAGGACTTTGATACTTGAGTTGCAATGTCTCTAATTGTTAAGATGGTGCCCTTAACAATTGGTATGGCGGTGATTTGAGCCAAGAGATGTCTTTAAGTGCCTATCCGCCAATTGACATTTGATACGAGTCGAATGACTCATTCTCAATTTCTTTCAGAAATTGAACGTACCGGGAAGGTTACTCGATGAAACCCGACGGGCCAGGCACCGGGAGGGTCCTAACGTAGTAGTCGGGGAGCATCGAGAGTGTCTAGGGGACAGGGCCGTGCATGCCACTCGCTGACCGTAAGTGACGGTCATGTTGAAACAATTGATGAACATTATGAGTCTGAGAAGGATTCAACTTACCAACCCGGAACTGAACCGGTTGGGACCCCATATGATGGGGAAGATGATGACGGGAGTGAAAGGAGCGATGATAATGACGCTCTAGAAAGAATTGAAGAATTACTTCGCCAATACCAACGAGATCGCCAAAGGCGTCGAGCAAGGCGTGCTTTGGAAGGGGCTTCAAGGAGAGGAAGCCGCGTGACTCCTAGGGAGAGCATAGAACCCCGAGGAGGGCGAGGTGCCGAGGTTCCTATAATAAGAATCTCGAAGTACCTCAAAGAGGTAAGAGATTTGGGATGTAAACTGTTTGATGGAACGGGAGATATCTCCGTGGCGGCTGAATGGATCAAGCGATTCAATGAAGCGGCCCTTGATATGCAGCTGCCACCCAACATGAAGATGAGAGTGGCAAAAAGGTTACTAGAAGACATGGCGTCCACATGGTGGGACGGAGTTAAAGGGAAGTACGGTGAGACCGTCACTTGGGAGAACTTCCGACAGGAATTCTTTAGCCAATTCTTGAGCATCGAAAAATTCAAAAACTCATTTCAATTCTCTAGTGTTCAAATACTCATTTGTGTATGTTCATTTCTTTTAATCATTATACTCATTCGTATATAATATAAACTCCTTTTTATAATATGTACATCTAGTAGATTTGTTATTAACAATTTAATAAACTAGCTACTACCTCCATCCCACTAACATGTGGACATGAAAAGGTCACACAATTAATAAGAAATGTAAAGAATGATTTAGAATCACAAATTTTATCAAATATGATATGAGACAATCTTAGTAGGACGGAACGAAAAGGAAAGATGAGATAATCTTAGGAGGAAGGAGAAAGTATAATTATATATAACAATGGGAAATATAATTATATATATATAAATGTTATATCAAAATAATTTATAGTCTATTGTTCTTGAATTACCAATATAATCGTGTTGTTTTTATAATATTTACTCATGCACATTTATTTTACACTATACTCATTTTAGTACTCCGTATAATACAAAACTCATGTTAGTAATTTACACACAATATTTAATAAACTAATAAATATTCATC